TTAATTAATATTCCCCAAACTGAGGAGCTTAATTTGGGAGTTTTCAAGGGCTGGAGTTTTCAAGCTGAAGCTAAGAAGCGGCCGTCGATTAAATCAGGTACATAAACAAAACTCTGCCTATTTAATTTTAGCACTTCATGCATAATCTTCTTCTACTCCAATTTTGAATTAAACTGTTGCATCAATGCATTCATGTCATCAGTTCGGCAAATAATCTGCCTCAATTAAATATGATTAAGCTTAAATGTCCCGGTTAATTCATAATCGTGGTATTAAAAGCCTAAATACGACAATATTGGCTAAAGCCTAGTTAATTAATAGCTATGGTATAATCCCCTTTATTTCGAACAATTCGGCTTAAGTCCAATTAATCAATAATTGTGGCTAAAAGGCCTTAATAAAACACGTTTTTCTTGGCAATAAATTGCCTACATAAACAAATTGCCTATAAGTAGATCAACCATTTTTAGCGACGAATCGCTTAAATCAAAGTCTTTGGCACAATGCCTTCAAATAATCACTTTTGGCTAAAAGTCTTAAAATCAATCAATTTTGGCGACAATCGCACAATCAACACCTTTTGGCAAACAAACTGCCTAAATCAACTCATTTTTGCAAGAAGCCTTCAAATAATCAATTTTGGCGACAATCGCCTAAATCACATCAACTTTTGGCAACAATTGCCTAAATCAATCTTTTTGGCTAAAAGCCTTAAGCCTTAAATCAACATTTTGGCAACAAATGCCTGTAAAAACATTAAATCAGTCAAAGCTTTTGGCAAAAATGGCCTAAACAAAACTGTACAAAGCATTACACCACACTTCATGCATTAAGCATACCCATTCAAAGCCCTTTTAAAAAGAGGCCTATCGAACTATGTTGACTTTGATCTTCCATTCAAACGGAAGTACGTAGGCACGTTTGGGATTTAACCCGGGCGGCAAGTCAAAATGACATAAACACTTTCATTGGTCCAATTGCATCATTTACCCTGCAAAGCATTCATTGTTTTGGTTAGTTCATCAGCATGATATAGTCTCAGGATCCACCTCGGGTTCGTAGACCATGCGTTAACATTGGGTTAATTAATCTAGCATTTAGGTTAATTAAAATTGGAGTCACTTAGGGTTTTTTCCTAGTTTACCCTAAAATAATTAAACAAGGTGACAAGGTGGCGACTCATACCTTCACGTGCACTTCTGCCCTTAGTTATATGCATTTATATGCCTATTTTTGGGGGAGGGGTTCACATGCCTGAGTATTAGATTCATTTAGGCGGCGATCAGGAGGTCAAATACTATTCTCTCAGTGGTTTCCTTAGAAGGATCGATAAAGGAAAACCATGAATAAAATCCCTAGCACTTAAATAGGTTCATGCATACATGAGGGAGTTGCATATTTTATCTGTCTGAATATTGCGATTTAAGAACTCCCTATGCATATGTTTTTAAGATATATGATTAAATATGTATGAATATATGTTCTTATGCATGAGATTTGAAGTATTGTATAAATATGAAGACTTTAGTCTAATTACTTAGTTTGAATGCATATAAGATTCTCTAAGTGCTAAATGGTTTAAAGGACATGAATTGAGATAAGTTATGTGTAAGCTATATATGTTGGGATTCAATTTGAAATTACGTAGCAGAAAGAGATAATCATAACAAGATAATTATTCCAATAGGGATCCGTTTAAACGATTAAAACAATAAAATTTTTTAGGAGAATACCAGTTTTGCAGATTCTTCGAAACTTCAATCTATGTAGTTAGATTGTCGCAAACCACAAGTTGTCCAAGTGTCTGGCCTCTAGTAGTATCCACACGAATGGACAATCGAAAAACTCTAAACCTATTTTAAAGGATTGAGAGATTAAAGTGTATAATGGTGCTATATATCTTATGTTCTATATTTAAGTTTGTGGCTATGAGCAACAATTGTCTGTTAAACTATCTCTTAAACCTTATATATGAAAACCTTAGATCATAAATAAATTAATTATAATTATTTATTCAAACCTTTTAAATAAATAAATTATAACTAATAAAATAAATAAATTATAAACTAAAATATATATGTACTATGTATGTTATTTAAAAGCAAATTTAAATTAAATAAATTCAATAATAATATAGTAATAGGATTTTTCAGTTTATCAATTATATTTATTATCTAACTATAAATAAATGAATCATAATTAAAATTATTAGGGCTATTTATCTAAAATTTATCTTAATAAAACTATTTAAATAAATAAATCATAATTAAAATATTAGGCTTATTTAATCTAAAATTTATCTTAATAAATTTTAGACATAAATCAATTAAGTCAATATTTAATAATTTATGTAAAACTGTAATTAAATATAAATTTCAATTTTGCCCTTAATATCCCAAAATTTATTTTGTAATCAAATCATACTTGATTCGATTTCTCGTTTTCACTTTCTCACATTCATTCTTATGTGTGTGACCTTCTAGATTCCAAATATGTTACTAACAATATAAATTAAATTAATTAATTAATATTTAAACGTCAAGTACATTATTTAGCAATATGTCATGACTACCCAAATATTTGGAAATCAAAGTGGTTTGACTTAACCTTTCAGTGCATGATTAAGCAGTGCAATTAATATCCTTTGATCATTAATGTTCTAATTTAGCAATTAGACATGAAGTGTGTCTGTTTTACTAAATCATGTTAATTCTCTTAATCTTAACCGTTGATCAGTTGAATGAAATTCCAAATCCAATTTGCTAATTTCATTTTACCTTGTGCAAGGATTTCTTAATCAATACTAATATAGAACAATTAAAATATTTTTTCTGATTTATTTAGGGCGATGAATCCTCTCTTAATTACAGAAATATCTCCATACAGTTCCTACAATATCCAATTAGTCATTGTTTATTATTCATGAATGAATAATGTGAACGAAGAATCAAAATATAATCATTCTCATACAAGATAGCTTAGTAATTTCAATTAAAGGATCATTTACACAACCATCATTTGAGTATTCCATAGACACTGGTAACTCTCCATATTGAATTCTCATGCAGGTCAACTCAGTGGACTTGTTCAAATAACAAACACCAACATTTTAGTTTTAGATATCACATATATCTTAGCTTATGAGAACACATGCTTCTCTACGGAAAGAACATAATATATACCAGTCTCAACAGCTCTAATCATTGTCCAATAATGAGGAGAACATTGATTAGGAATATTTAGAGACATTGCTTCAATGTAAAATAAAACTCATAATTATAACCACATTTTAATTTACTCTACAAAGCAATATTGTCTCATGGACTTTATATTTTACCAAGATTCAATCGATAGAATATATAAAATAAATAAATGTCTTTTATTACTAATAAAATATTTATTACATGAAATGTGATATCCAAAATATAACCAATCAAATTGGCTATAGGGCATATAACAAACAATATACTATCTGGAAAAGTGAAATTATGAGAATAGAAGCAAGTTAAAGAAAAAGATAATGAAATTATTGGGGCCCTTATTATATATATACTTGGTATGAATTCGATGCTTTGAATAAGATCACTCTATGTCTGAAAATGCTTAGCATATTTATGTTACTCTGATTATCTGAATATAGCTATGATCATATGCTTGGCATGTGGTGCCATCTATATGAGTGGACGCGCTCTATCTGTTTTTATTTAGCTTTTAAGGCCCTTTGCTTCTGTTTGGCTCTTAAAGCCCCTCTGATTCTATATCTAGTTAATTTGTTTTGTTTTCGAATTTTTCTAAGTATGTAGAAGGCCCAAAAGTCAAAATGAAATAAATATCTAAGAATTAAGATATTTTAGTATAAGATATTCTTGTAAAAGCATGTATTCTTATTTTAAATATTTAAATGTACTTATGACAACAGTATGCATTCTTATTTAAGATACTAAGAACTAGAATGTTAAATATAAGAAACTTTTGTAACTCATGATTTATGATTTTATTATAAGTATGTTACTTTAAATGCTTAAATGATGAATTTATGTATATATATATTCTTTACTTAAATACTTTGAATGAAGTGTATATGAGCCCTAGAAGTTATATATAAAAGAAATGATTCCATAAGGTGATATTACGTATAGAATATTCTACAAGTCCATATCTTATTCTTTTAGCTTAATAACATGTTAGTCTTGCTTTATATACTTTAAATGTCACTTTATCACTTGTAGATCATTGATTTACTATGCTTAACATGAATATATTTGAATTATCTGCCTTATGCATGAATGTTATCAATGATGATTGAATGATTTATGAATCTATATTGCCATAACAATATTATGGATGTATGAGATTATTGAGCACCACTGAGTTTATTCTCAGCGCATCGATGCTTATCACGCTCAGGTTGTAGACTCAGAGACTGCCGGTTAGAGTCCAAATTCAGCGTCAGAGCCAAAGACTTCATTTTAATTGACATAGTTTATTCTATTTCAGTTTATGTATTAGACATGACATGTAAATCTTAAATATTGGAGATTGTATTTGCTTAAAGATTTATTTATTAACTTAAACTCTAGAAGAATATGTATTTATGGTTTAGAACTTTTTATTATATGTCGAATGGAATATTGTAAGTGGAAAATTATTTGATTCTTAAACATATAAACAAGGTAATTATTACAAATAATTTTATTTAAATAACAATATAACTTAAGCATAATAATTATGAATGAAGGAATTTTGACTAATTAAATAAGAAAACCAAGCTAATATCCCTTATTATTTATTTGATTTGCTCTCTGGCAAAGCATAACGTACACTTAAAACATGGTAGGAACTAATATCCATTGTGTTTGTCAAATACATATTTTTTTTTTTCATCAAGGATCAGTAGACATTGAAGGAATTTTTTTGATTCTCGCCAAACAATTGTCTTTTGGTCTTGGATGAGGTAAGTACATTACTTTAGATTCAGGATTGAGACGCTCAAGCCTTTGACGTGAGGAAATAAATTTAATAATAATAATAAAGCAAGTAAAATTGAAAAGGATAAGTGTGCAAAATAAGTACTTACTGATATTTAAGGAGGAAATCATGTAGAAAAATAGAAATTTCAAGCTTAGCCAGATCTTTTCCAGGGCAGAACCTACTTCCTGCTCCAAAGGGAAGAAAAGTTCCTGCTTTTGTAGTGTGATTCTACATTTGGAAATTAAAGCAATCATTTTATTATTCTCATTTGTTAAATATCGAATAGAAGAAAAATGTATATATATATATATATATATGTGTGTGTGTATTAGAACGAACAGAAAGGGAGAATGTTGGGTTTGCAGAAAATACATCTACTAATTTTAAGGATTAATAAAAATATCATTAAGAATTTTAATTTTATTAATCGAAAAAATAATGGTAATGTAATTTTAATTGATGATATTAATTTTTTATTTAGATTTAAATTCTATTTGTTAAAATAAGAAATTATAAGATATATTATATAAGGTATATATTAAATATTGTAAGAATATAATATATATTATATAAGGTATATATTAAATATTGTAAGAATATAATATCTGTAAGGATTTTAATTTTATTGATTGAAAAATAATTGTAATTTAATTTTAATTGGTTATATTAATTTTCTAGTTAAATTTTAATTTATTGGGTAAAATAAGAAATCATATTATATACTAAATAAATTATATATTAAATATGATAAGAATATAATTATCTTTAAGGATTTTAATTGTACTAGTTAAAAAATAAAGGTAATTTAGTTTTTATTGGTTATATTTAAGTTCAAATTATATTGGATAAAATGAGAAATTTTATTATATAATATATAAGGTATATATTAAAAAAAATATAATATTTTAAGAATTTTATTTTTATTGGTTGAAAAATAAATGTAATGTAATTTTAATTGGTTATATTAATTTTCTATTTAAATTTAAATTATATTAGATAAAATAAAAAACTATATTATATACTAAATAAGGTGTATATTAAACAAAGTAAGAATATACTATTTTCAAGGATTTTAATTTAATTAGTTGAAAACAAAGTTAATTTAATTTTAATTTATTATATAAAATTTCTATTTAAATATAAATTCTACTGTATAAAATAAGAAATAATATTTTATACTAAATAAGGTGTATATTAAATATAGCTAGAATAACTATCTTTAAATATTTTAATTTTATTGGTTAAAAAATAAAGATAATTTCATTTTGATAAGAAATATTTAAATTAAATTCTATTGGATAAAATAAGAGATTATATTATATATTAAATAAGGTCAATACTAAATATAGTTAGAACATAATATCTTTAGAGACTTTAATTTTATTAGTTGAAAAACAGAGGTAATTTAATTTATATCGATTTTATTAACTTCTATTTAAATATAAAATTTATTATGTAAAATAAGAAATTATATTATATTAAATATAATAAAAATATATAAGAATTCAATTCAAGAATATAAGAATTCAATTCAATATGGTATACTTCTTAATCTTTGAGATATTATTTTACTTAAGTTATCATTATTTTTAATTTTCCACCTTATTTCAATTATAAATTTTTGTTTTTGCATTTCATTTTATTAATTTTTTTTGTAATATTCATTCATTTTATTTATTATAATCTTTATAATAAAATATTAAATAAAAAGCACCTAATGTATCGTTTATCTTTTTCCTCAATAACTGACTATCATTTTTATTATATCACAAAGAAACCAATCAATTATATTTAAAGAAAAATACAACTATAATATGTATTAACATGAGCAACGTATGTTGTCAAAAACTAGTGTATATATATATATATATATATATATTATATATATATATGGACTTACATCCCCACCGTGAAGGATTTAAATTATATATATATATATATATATATGGACTTACATCCCACCGTGAAGGATTAAATTCCATTGGATTTGGATAGATTTCAAGATCCAAATGAACACTTCTGTACCAAGTTAAAACTTTCCAACCCTTGGGGATTACATATCCTAAATGAAAAGGAATTAATTAATTATTATATCTTATAAGAGTGATTTAAAAATGAACGCTTGAGTTTAACAAGGTCAAGAATTTAACATATAGAAAAATACTTATAGGTAGGAGCAGCTATTAACCTCTATTTAAGACTAGTCATATACCCAAAAATAGTGCATAAATATATTCCATATAATATAAAATGCATGCAAGGCAAATATGGACTATGCACTCACCATCCAAATTAATATCTACTTTTGCCTCTCGAAAAAGTGCAAATGAGAATGTTACCAAACGAAGTGTTTCATCAATTACCTACAATTAATGGAAAACAATATGAAAGATATATATTTTGAGAGAATTAATTACATTGAAATAATTATCTATCGGGGAAAGAAACTTCATTTCTCGAGTTTCTTTAAGCATTAGTCCCTTCTGTGTTGGTGGCCTCCTTTTAAGTATCTCCTCTTGCTCTTTCTATAAACACAAGTTTATTAATTGAAATGTGATGCAGGACTTTTACTTATATATAATATAGGTAATACCTTAGCTTTTTTAAGATATTCCGGGTGTGCCTGAAGAAAAATTGTAGCCCACATTGTGGTATACGTAGAAGATTCATGGCCTGCATTCAAGTACATCAATAGAATATCAATGATTTCTTCATCGGCTTAATTTTCGACCATTTTCATCTTCAACAGCAAGCAAAGCGTCCATCATGTCTTTCTTAGTTCTGCTTTCATCCTTTCTTCGATTTCTGCGTTCGTTCACTATTAATTGGAATACAGCCACTAGATTCTTGCGTGCCTAAAATTTGTTTATTCATTTAAAATGAAAAACAGTTAGATAATCTATAAGGAGCGGCTGCCTTTGAAATCTCGGAATGAGCATAGTTTCATATTGAAAAAGAACAGCATAGGATACTCTTGGAAAATAATATTGTATCATAAAAAGATGATGCACCTTGAGCGCTTTATGGTAAGCAAACCCTGGAAAATTGATTACCATAGATCTGACCCCATAATTAAGTGAAGTATATTCCTTCTCCAAATCATCCATGACTGAAATGCTTTCAGAGCCAAGGAAGATGTGCATAATGATCTTGAAAGTAAGCTTTCTTAGTTGAGTCAAGAACTCAATCTCTGTCATAGAAGCCCATTCATCCAGTGCATATATTACATTTTCTTCAATGTATGATATATATTGAGATAGAGCTTCATGACCATTCAATGGAGTAGAAGTAATTCGTCGGAGACGCTTGTGCTCTTCATGGGAAATGGAAACAAAGGATTTCTTTCCAATCAACTCTTCGGTGGATTTTGGCCAACCTGGTTGAAATGCTTCATCATCTGTTAGTACTTTTCTGCATGTTTCTGGTGTTGTCACCAAGATACTGGGATTTCCAAACATCAAGGCTTTGTATACTCCACCACCCCCATATCTGCATCAAAGCCCATCGCTCCATCAAATATATTTTTGTATGTTAAAGCATAATTGGAGAAGAAACATATAATGAATGGAAAAATAAAATAAAAAAAAAGACCTGGCAACAAAGTTGCGCATGAAAGAATCTGGGTCAGTGGACTTGAAAGCTTTAAGAAAGGACCACATATTGCCAATGAAAGGCCAGCCCAAATCGCCTGGAGGCAGTGAATACTGAATTTCACCAAGTTTAGTTTCATAAAGCCACCAGTTAACTTTCTTTAGAATCCATTTTAGACTCCCCAAAGCACCTAATACTACTGCAAGCAGGACAACCCAAGTGGAATCTGCTTCTAGGTCCATTGTTTGATGTAATATTGTTCAATCCTTTTGTCACTGAAACTCTATTAATTTTCAAACTAAGGATCAAAATGAAGGATTTAAGACATAGTAGTAAAATCCAAACATGTATTTAAAGAAATGAAAACAAGACATAGAAAGAAATACAACACAATATAAGGTAATATTTCAATACTTGGATATATGAGTTGTTAAATACTATAAATGAGTTTCATATATATATAAGAAAAATGAAAGACTAAAGTATTAGAACACCACGGACTTTACAGACCATTACAATTTCACTATATTTTGACTTTTATGTCAATTTACCCCAGTTTCAACCTTTTGTAATAATAACATCCTTAATTGTAATTGAGGATGAAATTAATAATAAAAAATATTTCCATCTATTTTTTTTTTTTTACAAAATTAATAATAAAATAAGATTTTTATAATCACAACTCGTGATTGGTATATTTATAAATTAAAAATATGAAATTTGAGACATGTACAGTTAAAATAATTAAGAAAATTTTTTATTTTTTTGTTAAATGAAAATAGTTTAACTATATAATCAATCCAAAAATTACAATCATTAGGATTTTTCCGAACAAAAAATGTAATTGAAAAAATTATATTTTATTAAATTAATTTCTAAGCCATGCTTCGGGACTTTTACGTCAATAAAAAAATATGTTATTAAATTACTAATTAGCAAATTTATTTAAAAATTAAAATTTAATCTATTCTATGCAACATCAATCGGATAGATTAATGAAAATTGTTTCAAATTTTTATTTTCTAAGTTTTATAAATATCACATGATGATTAAAAATGACAAAAATACTTTTTTATTTGTAACAGCTTTAATTTAATTTTAATTTTATACATCTTGAATTTCATGTCATTTATAACAGCTTTTATAATCTTTAATATTTAAAAGATGGATTTCTTGACATAGGCAACTTAATAAATGTCAGAAATTAAGTTTTAATATTAATGAATGTCAAAAAATTTTAAAAACTAAGATAATGTCATTTTTGGTAAAAAAATAAAATAATAACCTCAGTGAATTTATATCACATTCAAACGCACATAAACCGGGTCAACCAAGTAACAAAATGAAGAAATAGGAAAGAAGAAAAATAAAATAAATAAACAAAAAAAAATGAAAGAAAAATAAAACTAAACAGAAAACGAAGTAATAAAAAGAAATATGAAGTAACAAAAAGAAAAAGTAAAAACAAGAAAACTATAATTGAAAAATGAAATACGAAATCTGTATAAAATGAAATAAAATGAAAAATTAGGAAAATAAAACAAACAGAAAAATTAAGGTAGCGTTTGCTATTGTTGTGGTTTCTAGTTTTTCCATTTAATTTTGATAAAAATAAAATAAAACATGTTTTTTTTTTAAGTGTTTAGATTTACTTTTTAACTTTTTTTTTTTTTTCAAAATCATTTAAAAAACAGAAACATGTTTTATAAAACTACAAATAATGGTTTATGCTATTGACAGACTTTCCTTCTTCTCTCTCTTACAAATATCTTAAATTTTAGAAATGTTTCTCTCTTTTCTTTCTTACACCTTCATAAACCTTGAAATTTATATCAGATTGAGATCTATTTCAAATTGGATAATTTACTCTATATTTGAATCTATTATCTTATCTAAAATATTCTTTCTTTTTTTTTTTTTTTTGTTTTCATCAAAATTTATTACTATACAACCAAAATTCTTCTCTCCTTGATGTTTTAGTTTACTTTATAAAAAAAGGCAGCCGAATTTGTAAGGTATTTTAATTTATTTTACAGAATTATTACTATTATTATTTATTGCATGAGCTATCATTATTTACTTGAAATTTTTTTTTTCAATTCTTTCACTTTTGTTGGAACTCTTGATTGAATTTATATTCTTTTATCATAATCTAACAATATAAATATTAGTTATTCAATAACTGATAGGTATTATTTTTATGGTATTTTTAATATAATTTTTATTAGAATTTTTAGTATTTTTAATTACTTTAATTAGTTTTTATTTAGTTTTATTTATGTTTTTGTTCAAAGCTTTCTTTTTTAGTATTTTAATTACTTTAATTAGTTTAATTTAGTTTAATTACTTTAATTAGTTTTTATTTAGTTTTATTTATGTTTTTGTTCAAAGCTTTCTTGAATCATATTTCACTTGATCTTAAGGAATTTTGAAAGATTTTTATAGAAAACCAACCAACAATGCAGAGAAGACTGTATCCAAGCCGTGCCATATAGCACGCCCGAACTGAAGACCATATTTTGCCTTGGGCCGAGAATATCAGTTTCAGCCCATACCGCTTGCATGGACCCGCATGAGATGCTTTTCTGACATGTCAATCAAGTTTAAATCCTATTTAGACGCTGGGAAAGTCATAAGTGGTAAGAAATACAAAGCCTAAACAGTTTTCTATCTCCAAAAGATTTCTTACTCAATAAAGATTCACTTTCCTAAACCAACATGTAGATATTTCAGAAAAGTCTATATAAATAGAGAGACTAGCCATAGACAAGGCAATCATTCATTGTATTTACCATCTTTTTGTTCTATTGTTTTTCTCTCTCTCTAAGTTGATCAAGGATTATGCATTGCAGGATTCAAGGAAGCCGTCCAAGGAATTAGTGTTGACTAGGGTTGTTTATCTTTAAGCTCTTAATCTTGTTTTTACTTTTTCATTAATCTTGTTTTTACTTTTCATTATTCACATTGATTATGGAATTATTTTCAAGTTTAATTGAGTTTTATTTAATTACTATGTCGAACTAAATTCTCATAGTAGGGATTTGATGTAGGTTAATTTCTTTTCCAATTTATAATATTAGATTTCTTTTTCTTTGTTCAAAGTATAATTCATTATTGAACTTAATGCTTCTAGGTAGAGTTTTTTCCCTAGATTGATTTATTTCATTAAACACTGTCGGGAGAAGGGTTTTTGATATGAAAAAGGTAATAAATTACATGAGAATAATAACTTGATGCAGAAGCTATATGGTTTGACTCATGGGTTTTTCATAAGTTAATTCGAACCTTAGATTATGAATTCACAAAACAAACTATAAAATTTAATGATTAAATTATGCTTTAATTGCCTATTGGAAGATAGTAATTAGATCGGGTAAAATAGCAAACAATATATCGGGAGGCTTATTAGTGATTTGTAAGGTTTTTAGTGATTTTAAGGTTGTTTCTCCTACTTGAACAATTAAAATTGATTATCAAATTAATAAAATAAATTGGATAGAATTAATTGAAGTCAAAATCCCCAGTAGTTTTTAATCCTTAATTTCTTCTTATCAAAAATTGCTTTGCTTGATTTCTTTTTATTCTCTTTTATTTACTGAAGTTAATTTCTTAAAATAATTCTCCTTATTGCCTTTTAAATAATAGTAGGCTAACATAATTTTGGTACTTGATATACAATCCTCGCAGGAACGATACTCTACTCATTCTATATTACTTGTTGTGATTTCGTACACTTGCAAAAATCACTGTCAATAATAAACTAATTATTGAAAAGCCATAAAAGAAACATATAGTAGTAAGTAAAAAAATGTTACTCCCTCCGTGCTATTTATATAGAGAAAAATTTTCTTTTTAGGCATTCTATTTATATAAACAAATTTTCCTTATATGGTAACTTTGGAACTAATGCTAAAACCAAAAGTCCAATATGTCATTGCTTTGGTTAATAGATTAAACATTGACTTTGAAAGTATTTTAAGAAAATGGCAGACGTTATTGTAATTGACATTTAATGTTCAAAATTGACTGAACCGTGTATTAAGATGTGATATTCAAGCATATTGCGCGCACAGATTAAATTTCACCAAAAAACTTATGCTTAACATTTAAATGTGCACATATAGTAAAATTTACTCACAACTTTAATAAATCCTGAATAGAGAAAAATTTTCCTCCACATGACAATGCTTCTCTCATCATTTATCACTTTTTTTGTTAAAAATTGGAGAAATTAGAAAGAAATCCACAAAAAGACCACCTCTTTAATCTTAGAGAAATTTTGACTCTCCATATAAATAAAAGGGAGGATAAACATATAGAGGGAAAAAAAGCTCAGAAAAAAAAAAGTTTTCAAAAATTAAAAATCAAAAAGTTTTGTTTTTTAAAAGTAAAAAAAAAAAAAAAAAAAAAAACAAAAAAAAAAAAAAAAAAAACCTATTTTATATCACATGATAATAGTGCAAAAAAAAAAAAAAAAAAAAAAAACCTTATTTTATATCACATGATAATAGTGCAGTTAAAAATTGACAAAATTAGAAGGATCATCTAAAACTGAAGGGAAAAAGAAACAAGTGCTTTAATTGCTTGTCATTAGCCATTATGTAAAAACTACAAACCGGATCATACAGTTTAAAACAGGACAGGCAGCTGCTAAGAGTGAATATACAGTTTATGAAGAAAGAATGAAAATAGTATTTAATGCTTAAAAGGAATTGTACAGTCCATTTTATATATAATGCTGCACCCAAAATGATCTCATATCTAGACCTTATATAGTAAAAATACACAACCAAAAATACAAAACTACTCTGCCTTGCATAGCTAAGAGGAAGTGAACATGTAGATCAGCCAGAATGTCAGTATCTAAGTAACCAAAGAATGTCTGATTTCATTGCGTCTAACATATTTTCCATAATTGCTGCCATTTACAAAGAGTAGTTTCATTTACAATATATTGTCTTGAACTTGCATGCCTCCATTTGATGAGCTGCAAGAAACAGAATTATTACACTCCATCTGAATAACAGACTTCATAGTATTACACAAGGAAAGCAAATCATTTATTGACGTATTGTCCACATAAAAAAAGAGTAACCATAAAATCTAAAGTCATCCCTATTAAAATAAAGGCTATTTCAATTTGAGCATCCAATCATAAGTTTTGGCTATTATTAAACATTGCAGTTAGAGCAGTGTTTTAGAATCCAATAGTCAGCAATTAAAAGCTATAATTGAAACATTAAGGTCCTGTTTGGCAACTGCTTTTCATGTAACT